AAGGAAGGAAGGAAGGAAGGAAGGAAGGAAGGAAGGAAGGAAGGAAGGAGTAGGGAATGAAGAGCAAAGAAGGGAAGTCACAGACACAAACCCCCTCCTATACAAACACTGATTATTTTTGGATTATGGACTGAATGATTAACTTTTATAACGTTTTCTTGTATAACTTGTTATTATTATTTTGTAGTTTAGGTTAGCAGATGAGCAGCTGTTCACAGTTCTTCAGCAGCTCTTTGTCCTTTGAGCTCCAGAGGCTCTTCCCCACCTGGGAGAGTCCCAGCCCCACAAAGATGGAAAATCTCTCGCTGCAGGGGGTCCCTCCTCCTCCTCCTCCTCCTCCTCCTCCTCTTCTGGTCTGACTTTGACTTCACCTTCTACCTCATCCTTCCCAGTCTCTGGACACATGGCAACCCACCCACCTCCTCTCTCTCCATATTCCCCTGCTTTAGATTTCCAGGAGTACACCTGTGAGGGGTCTTCCCTCACCATCCTGCTAGCCATCTGCATTATATCCCACTTCTCTGAACTCTCCAGAAAGAGCAAAGACTTTGCAGTCAACCAGGGTGGCATGGATTTAACTGCCATTTACTAGCTCTGTGACCCTGGGCAAGCTTCATTCTTTGCCCCAGTTCAGCCAGCACTCAAGCCCCTCTGCTTTGCAGGCTCCACCACGGGGCCTTTGCACGCACCTATTGCCCCTGCTGGGTGTGTCCCCACTCATTCCCGCCTGGGAACTCCTGCTGAAGGGGCGTGTTCCCTCTGACTCAGTCACTCCCACTGTATCCACAGGGCCCAGACTTTCCAGGTCCCTGTTGATACCAAGCTTCGGTCCCCATATCCCCAGAGTGCACTTTCACTGTCAGCCCCTGGGGCCCTGTTTTGGGTTCAGAAAGTGTGACTTCTGGGTGTACAGTACTTAGAGATAATTGCCAATGACACAGGCCTGTGATGAATGCCTGTGTTCTCAGCCAGCAGTAGACATGTCTCTGATTTGTCCCTTTGGCTCCCACTCCCAGAAGAGGGGCTCAGGTAAGCATAGTTAATGAAGAAGCAAATGTTTGCTTCTCCTTTTGTTCAAGGGCCTCTTAAAGGCAGGGACTTCTTAAAAACAGAGTCTGGCACACAGTAGGTATTCAATAAATGTTAAAATGCTCAATAAATACCTCTCAGACATGCACAGAATTTTCCAGTTTATGGGCATTTTTACTCCCATCGTTTGTTGCATAATACCAATAAAACTGGAGCTGATCAATGTTTATGAAGCGGGAACTCAGACAAGTGACAAGAGATGACAAGGGACTTGTCCACAGCCACACAGCAAAATAATAACAGAACTAGGTGCTCAGAACCAAACCTCTGGACTCTAAAATGATGCAACCATCTTTAGTGTCATCCTGTCTGTAACTATTTCTTGAGCACCTACTCTGTGCCAGGTGCTTCAGAAGCATGTCATCTAATCCTCAGATGATAAATGGGGTCTCCAAATCCCAAACTCTCTCTGGAGATTTGTGTAGGGGGCTGACCACAGCTGCTCTATGCAGAACTGTGGGGCAGCTGCTGGGCCACGCCCCAGGACACAGCACAGAGCTGGCAGCCACACCCCCGTGAAGCAATAGGCTCCCTCCCTGGAGTGCTGGGCATCCTGCTTAGCACTTTCTCATCTGGATGTTCACTCACTGGGGAGTCCCCACTGTAGCCGTGTTCCCAGAGAGGGAAGAGCCAGCCTCTGTTTGATAGCTACCCCGGAATCACTGCTTTCCTGCTCACCTCCTCCAGGAAGACTTCCCCCAGTGAATGGCCTCCTAAGAGCAGGAAAGTGCCTCAGAGACCGTGTAGCCCCTGCTTCCTGCACCCATTTTACAGATGAAGAAACCAAAGCCCAGGGAGGAGAAGGCCCCACTGTGGGTAGTATTGCAGCTGAGACAAGAACCTAGGCCTCCTGGCTCCTAGCCCAGGGCTCTTCAGGCCCCTCTCTGCTGCCATGACCTGCTGCCATGACCACACTCAACACATCAATGTTGGCTGTGCCTTCCACTGAGGGTAGCCTGGCATTCAGGGCCACAGGCTCAGGATTGAAACAAGAGACCTGGGTTCTTGTTGACCTCATGCGATCAGTGGTCATGTCTACACTCAGCTTAAGAGCAGAGGAAGCTCTCCCAGCCAGGGAGAGGGAGGGGTCATCTGTGACCCTGCTCATCCCTGTGCAGGCTCTTTCTAGGTGCTTTACAAATATTAACTGTTAATTATGACATCAACCAAGTGAAGGATGTCCCTATTTTACAGATGACAAAGCCTATGACATATGTAACATTACTATCTCCATCTTACAGAGAAGGAAAAGGAGATTGGTGGTGCCAAGCACTGATTTGAAGTGAGTGAGCATGGGGGAGCTGGAATTTGGACCCAGACCATCTGACTCAGAGTCAACTCTCTTAACCCCTACCCTGCATGCTGTCCTTAAGTCAGGTCCATGCCCTCCAACCTGTACTTTCTGAGGTCTTGACTCTCACATCTTCTCTTACAGAAGCCATGAACATTCATGGAAAAGGCACTGAGGGGAATGTGTGGAGCCTTTGTGAAGGGAGTTGTGCTACCCATGTGTGAAGGCTTGTTATTTACATATCACAAATCTAAAATATTATAAAACATAATTGTTAGCAGCTCAACCCTGTCTGTGCTGTACCTTCATGGAACCCCTCTGAACCGTGGTTTCCTATTCTGTAAAAGAGAATAATGCTCTACCACATCATTTGTCTGTCATTCAGTACAGGCTGCCTCCGAGATAGCCCCAGTGATCCCCACTTCCAGGTATTCATGTCTTTGTGTAATCCTCCCCTTTGAGTGTGGGCTGAACCTGTGACTTGCTTCTAATGAGCAGAAAATAGCAAAAGTGGTGAAATGTCCATGTGGCAAGGAAAAGAGGGAAGCCATTGGCAGGAGCCAGTGAGGAACTGAATCCTGCCAACAGCATGTAAGTGAGCTTGGAAGAAGATCCCCCTAGTCAGGCAAGCCTTCAGATGAGACCACAGCCCGAGGGCACTGAGTGAAGCCATGCCTGGATTCCTGACTCACAAAAACTGGGCCATAATATATACTTCATACTTTAAGTTGCTAAATTTTGGGGGTATTTGTTATGCAGCAGTAGATAATATACCTAGTATTTGCCTATTGAGTGCTAGGCCCTATGCTGCATATATATCCATTCATTTATTAGATACATTTATTGAGTGCCACTGTGTGCCAGGTGCTGTGCTGGTGTGTATTGGGTTTACAGTGGTAAACCAGACAGACATTGTCCTCACTCTCAGAGACCTCACGGTTGAGCTGGAGGCTGGGAAACGGACAGTGTGAGCAGTGCTATGGGAGCCCAGAGGAAGCGCTGACCCAGCCTGAGGAGTTAGTGGAGGCTTCCTAGAGGAGGGGATGTCTGAGACCAACCCGAGACTAAAGACAACCTTCTAGGCAAAGGTGGAGCCAAAGGGCACCCCAGGAAGAGGCTGAGAAAGGGACAAGGTGAGCTGTAAGGAGATCTGGCCCATGGAGGAACAAGGGGAAATAGAGTGTGGCAAAGTGACACCCAGTGGCTTGGAAGGGGGAACGTGGCAGAGGAAGGACAGAGAGGTAGATCATGGAGGATGTTAAATACCCATCAAAGAGCCTAGGAATTATCTACCAGGCAGTGGGGACATGGCCCGCGAGATGGAGCACCACCACACTGGCAGCAGACGGGAAGATGAGGCAGAAGGGTCAAGCTGGAGGGCAGGACCCCAAGGATGGGTGACAGCTGCTACACTGGTGCATGCAGGAAGGTATGGAAGCTGGGCTGGCAGAGGAAGGCTGGAGAAGTGTGGAGAGACCTCAGAGATAACAGGAGGTTGAAGGGACAAGATTTGGGGACTGAATGGATGGGGATGGAAGTGAGCGGGAGAGAAGAGGTGGGAATGTGCCCAAGTTTCTGGCAGGATGCGTGATTGTGCCTTTTACTTAGGTGGACGTGCACAGGCGCAGGAACAGGCACTTGCTGGGAGGAGCAAGGTAAGAAGGATGAATTGCCCAGGTTGGGCTTGTGCTGTTTCCAAAAGAGAGGCTTGCGCAGGCAGTCCTACTAGGAAGCGGTTCCACTCCCTAGACCAGGAGAGGGCTACAGGCGTGGCTGGGGCAGGCCGGGGATGCACATTGGACAGGTATTTGGGAGACCGAAGAACCGGGGTTGAGGGAGAGTCAGGGGTACCGGAGCATCTCTGCAGACAGAAGGGACCATGGTCACAGTCCTCCCAGCGGGAGGTAGGGAGACAGGGGTTACCCACCTGCTGCCCGTAGCCCAGCGCCTTGTCGTAGAGCGCGATGCCTGCCGCCAGACCCCGCGCACGCTCCTCTGGGCTGGCGCAGCCCACGTCGAAGCCGTGCGCGTAGCCCTGCTCGGCCAGGCAGCGAGCGGCGCGGAGCTGGGGATCCCCGGCGGCTTCGGGCTCCTCCGCCAGGCCCATGAGGCCGGCCAGCCGCGCGGCGCACGCCTCCTCCTCTTCCTCCTGGCCCAGCCGCCCGTACACGTGTGCCAGATTGGCCCAGGCGTTGAGGTTGCCCGGGTGCTCGCGGGTCACCTCGAGGAAGCACTCGCGGGCCTCGTCCAGCTCCTCCAGGTAGAATGCGAAAGCGCCCAGGAGGTGACGCACGGCGGGGCGCTGCGGGGCGGCCGCCAGCTCGAGCTCCTGCCGCAGACCCTCCCGCTGCAGCTTCATGTCCCGGGCGCGCTGCGGGGCCGGCGAGTGCGGCTCGAAGTTCAACTGCATCTCCAGGTGAAAGTGGCCCGGCAGGTAGTCCAGGTCGTCGATGAGGGCGTCTAGGTCATCGGCCACAGCCTCCGGCTCCGCCATGGCTGCCCCCTCTGCTTCCCTGGCCTTGCCCTTGTGCCTGAGGCTGCGGAGGGCAGTGGATGGGGGCGTCCCCCGAGCGAGCGCCGTGCGGGAGGCGAAGGGCAGCCGGCAGAGGCCCCGGGCCCGGCAGCGTCTCGGTCTCAGGGCGCCTCCCGCAGGTGGGTGGGCCCGAGGAGTGCCCTGTGGGTGTTTCCGCTTTCGCTGCTCAGCTGCTTCTAGACGCTGACATTGCACAACCAGGTGTGCCAGAAAAACAAGGCATTGTCAAATACAAGGCGTGCAAACTTCGGTGCAAAGCAAAAGGCGTGTTTTTCTCTGCTAAGCAGGGAGGAAACTGAGGCTCAGAGGAGAAAACTGAGACTCAGAGGAGGAACAGAACTTGCCCAGATCACAGAACTGGGCGTACCCAAGTAGGTAGGCCTGGAACCCCAGGTTGCTGAAGGCCGGGCCCTTCCTCCAGGGGCGCTCCTCCGCCCTGTCTGCTTGAGCTGAGTCAGGACTGGCCAGTCTAGCTGCGGCAGCCACCCTCACTCCTGCCGCTGTCGCATCCTGTCCGCAGGTCCTCAGTGCTCTTCCTCTGAATGGAACCTGCCACCTCCCTCCTCTCTTTTTTGACCATTATTTATGAGGCTTCCTACGTGGAATTTCTCTGCGCCCTCTCTGCTCCGCAGTGAGCTCCTGTGCAAAGACTATGGGCTGCATGTGCTGGTTCTAATCCTGCTTCTCCAACCCTAATAAAGTATGACCTGCCACACTTTCACCACCTGTGACATGAGGACGACAATCCTTCCCCATTTATCAGGTAAGCCTGATAAATGGCCACTCTGGATAAATGTTAGCTCCCACTCTTCCAGCTTGGTTCCCATCCCATCCTGCACCCCACCTGTGGTCCCAGTTTTCTTGCTTTGGCCAGTGTTCCTCCCAGGTCTAGAGTGGTCCCCTAACCCTTAGCCTGGAGGCTGGCAGGCAGTGCTCCCTGCTGCAGGGGCCAGTTCCTCCCGCTCTTCCTTCCACCTGGGCCTGGTTCCTGCCATCCCTGTTGTTTCATCTTGATAGACAGATGAAAAATATATACAGGTGAAATATAGTTGGAGTATCTCTAAAGATATAGATGTAAATATTTACATTTCATGTAGATGAAATATCTATATATTTCAAGATGAAGCAACAGAGACCAGCATTTCAAAAGAGGAAATAGAGCCAATTAGGAAACTTGAAAAAAATTTGACATTAGCAAAAAAAAAAAAAAAAAAAGTTAAATTAAAACAACATCCTGGTGCTATGTTTCACCTGTTGATTTTTAAATATAAAATTAATTTTAATAATTTTTAATTGAAAATTTTGCTATAAATTGCTGGTGATCCTGTGATGAAACTTGTTCTCTTACCTGCCTGAGAGTATCAGGAATGGATTCACAGAGGGTTTGGCTTTGGAAAAAAAAATTGCAGGCCGGGCGCAGTGGCTCACGCCTGTAATCCCAGGACTTTGGGAGGTCGAGGCAGGTGGATCACCTGAGGGCGGGAGTTTGCGACCAGCCTGACTAACATGGAGAAACCCCGTCTCTACTAAAAATACAAAATTTGCCAGGCGTGGTGGCGTGTGCCTGTAATCCCAGCTACTCGGGAGGCTGAAGCAGGAGAATCGCTTGAAGCCAGGAAGTGGAGGTTGCAGTGAGTTGAGATTGTGCCACTGCACTCCAGCCTGGGCAACAAGAGCAAAAAGCATTGTCTTAAAGAAAAAAAAAAATTGCGACAACGTATACTTCACAAAAAATTTATGGTGTTAACCATTTTCAAGTGTACAGTTCAGTGGCATTAAGAGTATGAATGCTCCCCTGGCCTTGTCCTTGTCCCTGAGGGCACTGTTGTACCACTGTTTCCACCTTCCATCTCCAGAACTTCTTCATCTTCCCAAATGGAAACTCCATACCCATTAAACAATAACTCCTCATTCTGTCTCCACCCAGCACCTGGTACCCACCATTCTATTTCTGTTTCAGTGAATTCAACTACTCTAGTTACCTTACATAAGTGGAATCATATAGTATTTGTTCTTTTGCGACTGGCTTATTTCCCTTAGCATAATGTCTTCAAGATTCATCCATGTGGTAGCACGTGTTAGAATTTCCTTCCTTTTAGAGGCTGAAAATATTCCATTGTATGAATATATCACATTTTGTTTATCCATGTATCTGTTGATGCACACGTGTGTTACTTCTACCTTTTGATTGTTGTGAACAATGCTGCTATGAACGTGGGCATACAAATACACGTTTGAGTTCCTGCCTTTAATTCTTCTGAGTATATGCCCAGGAAAGAAATTGCTGGATCATATGGTAATTCTATGTTTAATTCTTTGAGAAACTGCCATACTGTTTTCCATAGCAGCTGGACTATTTTACTTTCCCACCAGCAATGACCAAAGCTTCCAATTTCTCTATAGCCTCTCCAACATATGTTATTTTCTATTTTTTAAAGATAATAACCATCATAATGGGTGGGTTTGGCTTTTGACTGGACTCTGAAGAAGATAAGTAAGAGTTGGGTGGGAAGGGTAGGTTGGTGGGGGGCGCATATCATCAGCAGCAAAGGTATGAAAAGGCCAGAGGCTCTCCAGGGGAGGGTGTGTCCTAGGGATAGAGTAGCCTCGTGGCTGGAGGTTTCAGAGCATGGGGCAAAGATGGCAGGAGATGAGGACTGAAGGCAGGGGCCACGGCCCCATCACAGAGGCCCAAGTCCTAGCTGAGAAGCTTGACTTGATTCCACTGACATACGAGGTGGCTCTGGAGTCTGCACGGGTTAGACAGTCTTGCAGCTAGGGAGCTCTCAAATGTCCTTATGAGTCCCATATTCATGGTGTGACCCTATGCCTGATGAGATGTGACCAGGGCAAGTTATTCTCCCCATCTGAGCCTTAGTTTCCTCTTGTGTACAATGAGGGTGCAATGGTGCCTATAAAAGAAAATGGGTGAGGTGCTAGACAAGGAAGCTGCTGTGATGGGAAACTTTGGGCTGACCAGAGCAGACGGCCTTGCTGCAGATCTGACTCACTTGGCCCGTTCTGGCCTTCCTGGCAGCCACGACTCCCAGCCCAGTGGACCTTGGCTTATAGCCTTTCGTCATTCCTCCATGGGTCCTGGAGCCATGGGGCTCAGGCCAGAAGAGAAGCAGCAATGTAGCTGCAGGCATGTCTGGGCCACCCTGAGAATACCCGAGCAGACCCAGGGCTGGCTGAAGTGCACAGGACTGGAGAGTGTGCACATCCACACCTCACCGACACCTCAAAACAGCCTTTCCAGGAAGCTACAGTCATAGATCCATGTCACAGAAGAGGAAATTGAAGTTGGCAAGAGTAACTTGCCCAAGGTCAGCACCCAGGAAGTGGCAGAGCCAGATTTAAATGTGTCTTATAGGATTTATGTGTTATTGGGTAGCTGGACTAGATGCATGTATTCATTCCCTTGTCATTCAGCAAATATTTCCTGAACATTTACTATGTACTAGATGCTGCACCAGGAGGAAATGAGACAAGTGTCTATCCTCAGGCATCTGTAAAGGTCCCTAACCAAGGGCTGGGAATGACCTCCAATTGAGCGCCTGCTGTGTGCCAAGAGTATTACCTAAATCAGGTCATTTCATCCTCACAGCAGCCTGGGCGATAGAGATGATTACTTTCATTTTATAGAATGAAACCGATAATGCTGTGACTCGGAGAAAGAAGTGACTTGCTCAAGTTCCCACAGCTGGGAAGGGCAGAGTCTGCTTAGATGACCCAGGCTCTCCGTTCTGTGCATGTTCCTGAGGCCTACTACCTCTGATCCTCAGCTCAGTGGTGCAGTGCAGACGCTCTGCCAGTGGTGGCCATGTGCCCGCCAGGCCTGGAGCCCAACAGTCCAGCTCTCAGCTGTGCTGGGGAGCCGCACTTCTTATTTAAATACTAGCTTGGGATGTCAGAAGGGCATTGGGTGGGGCCTGGCAGAAGACCCACTGTGCCTCTGGTCCAGCTTCACCATGGGCTGGAAGCAGGACCTCTGGTACAACCTACACCTCTCTGGCTTCAATCCTGTCACCATGGAATGGGATATGAATCTCTGCCCCACCTTTGGGCCTAAGACCCTTGGGAAGATCACAGGCCATCGTGGGAGAAATTAGACAATCTCAGAGCATGGCTGTGGAGCACTGGTTGGGGGGTAAGGAAGGAGGGAAGAGAGAACTGACTATGCCCTGGGTGGGGTCCATACCCTCAATTCCTTTCTTTACTTAGAAAGTCATCCATATGGGCCGGGCGCGGTGGCTCACGCCTGTAATTCCAGCACTTTGGGAGGCCGAGGCGGGCGGATCACGAGGTCAGGAGATCGAGACCATCCTGACTAACGCTGTGAAACCCCGTCTCTACTAAAAATACAAAAAAATTAGCCGGACGTGTGGCAGGCGCCTGTAGTCCCAGCTGCTCGGGAGGCTGAGGCAGGAGAATGGCCTGAACCTGGGAGGTGGAGTTTGCAGTGAGCCGAGATCGCACCACTGCACTCCAGCCTGGGAGACAGAGCCAGACTCCGTCTCAAAACAACCAAACAAACAAAAAAAAAGAAAGTCATCCATATGCTTCAATGTTGAGTTTGGAATTCTCCTCCTCCAGGAAGTCTTCCCTGACCTACCTACCCACGGGCTGGGTCAGAGGCCTCCCTCTCTCATGGACCTGACCATAGTATGTGGTCATTGCTTCCCCCATTATTTTCAGGGCAAGAACCACATCTGGGTCCCAGGCATTCTGCACAGTGTTTGCCCAGAGTGGGTGCCAGGGATGTCTAGGGGCCGATTGAATCCTGACTGCCCCTGCAGCCTTGCCCAGCCCTCCACCCTCTGGCTCTCCTTGCCCTTTCCCCCTTACTTGGGCTCCCCTGACTCCCGAAATGGAGAAGGAGCTGGGATGTCATTTGCCCAAGTCTGCCCTCTCTGTGGGCCTGTTTCCCATCAGCACAAGGCGAACATTAAAAGGTTCTTTCTGAGCCTAGGCAGGCTCCATGCAGGGCTCTGGGATAAAGCCAAAAATCAGAAATACTTCCTCAACAAATGGCTGTAAGACCCCACCCACTGGCATCCATAGTAAATACAAGAAGGGCCATTATATCTGCAGGGGCCAGGGAAGGACCCTGAAAATGTGCATGGACAAGGGAAAAATCAGCCCGCTACGTGCGCACGCCGGTGGGGGCGCCACGTGGGCGAGGGCGCGGCCCACAGCTCCGGGGTGCATCACAAGGCCCAGGTTGCCGTGGCAGCAGCGGAGGCGGTCGGCGCGCAGGCCTGCCATGAGGGAAGGCCAGGATGCCGCCGGAGCTCGTGGCTGGAACCGCGCCGGCTCCATGGCCACTAAATGGTTCACCGGGGCGCCCTTCGGGGTGCAGAGCCACAGGTGGGGCCCATTTGCGTCCTGGGCTCATGCCCATGGTCCAAGGCAGCTGCTGCCCACCCCGAAGCCACCCTTGGCCTCGGGAGAGAGGGTGTCCACCTACACACCCGGCTGAGCCTGGCAGGGAGGGGAACGGGGGTGGGGGCGGGGCCGGCAATGAGGAGGGGCTGGGCTTTCTCTCCCCCTCATACTTACTGCTCTTTCCTGCCCAGGGTTCTTTTAGCTTCTAAGTGAGTTCTTTAAAACCATTCAAGAGCACCTACTATGTGCCAGGTTTAGAGAGGTAACATGGCCTGGTCCATAGTAGGCCACTCAGCTCAGAAGTGGTAAGTGAGATTTCAGCCCAGGTGTCCGTCTTCCATTCATTCATATTCCACTCTGTCTCTCTCTCTAACCTACTATGTTCCAGGCACAGTTCTAGGATCTGGGGCTACAGCAGTGAACACAACAGCAAACCCCTGTACTCACGGAGTTTGCTCTTTTCTGTGAGGGGTGGGGGTGAATAATAAACAAAAGTATGTATATCTGTAAAACGTTGGGTATTGATAAGGACTGTGGAGAAAAATGAAGCTGGGAGGAGGAGCTGACGGGTGGGGTGGGGCGGGAGCGGCCTGGAACATTCGAAGCCACTGCCACTCCACTGCTTTTCTTTCATGAGCTTGCTCCAAAGTCACCTTCCTGGGCAGCCAACTCCCCCATGCTCCAGAACTGCCCATGCCAGGGCCGGGTGCCAGGCACCGGGCTCTCACTGGGCCACCGTCCCTCCCTAGGTTTGACATCTCTGCTGTTTATCCCAACCGGAAGAAGTTCAGCACCTTCACTGAGGCCCCATACTCCATGCGTTATTCTACCCAAGTGGTGAGTTTGCACAGCTTCCCTGACTCCTCCCACAAGGCCTGAGCGCCGCCCCTTAGAGCTGCCTACTGTGGTGGATGAGCTGAGCTGTAGAAGGGGCGTACCTTCTACCGTCTTCCGGCACGGAGCTGGGCCCACCGTGGGGGCTTCCAGTATGTTTGATAAATGAGGGACTGCACCACTTCCAGCTTGTGCACTGACTACTTCTGGGCTCTTGAAGGCGCTATTATACCTCCCTGCAGTGTGAGGGGCAGTGATAGAGGATGTCATGATTGCACCTTGAGTGCCAAGCCTGTTGATGCCAGCCTTGGTGCTGAGGGTGGGAGCCACAGGGGGGATTGCCTACTCCCTTCCTCCGGGTCAGGGTGGTGGCTTGGTGAGGGCCTGCTCTGTGGGTGGACGGGGCGGGTGTGGCTGTCACAGCTCTGACCACACTCTGACTCAGTCCCACATAGGCCCGGGGACTTACAGCTCAAAGGAGACCTGCTTCAGCAAGAATAAGCTGATGAAGGAGGTGGACACAGGCTGGGCCAAGGCCCAGGAAGCCACGCGGCTGACCCAGCTACCCCACTTCAAGTACCAGGCCATCATGAAAGAGAAGCGGCTGCAGGTGAGGCCTCTGGGGCCATGCCTGTCCCTCTCTGGTGCCGGGTCTTCCTGTCCACTGCGGCTGCTCCGTGTGGCCTTCAGTGTCCTTCCAAGGCCAGATGGAGATTACCCTTTAAGGAATATCATCATGCCTTGGGCTTTTTCCTGTGTGGACTTTCCCAGGTTTAAGGCTTTCATTTTCTCTCTTCTCTTGGCATAGGAGCAAAAGCTGGGGCCCGGCTCCTACAATGTCAAAGACTTCTTAGAACAGCTGCAGGAGAAACCATGTAGCACCCGGGGGCTGCTCAGTTCTGGGGAGGTTCGCTTCCGAGGACTCATTGGGGTAGGTGTTCTCATCTCTGGAGTCCCGAACCTGGCATACATTGGGTGCTCAACAAATTCATTCACTTATGTATCCATCCGACCAGCCAGGAATAAGGATTAAGCACCTCCTAAGTGGCATACACTGTCCTAGGCCTTGGGGATCTAGCAGTGATGAAGACAAGGTCCCTGCTCTCATGAAGTAGATGTCCTAGCAGTAGAAACAGTAGTACAAAAAAGGAAGTGTAATACATATATAAGCAGGGCTATGAGCACAAATTAGACAGGGAAGGGACAGGCAGTGATGGGGGTGCAATTGATAGAGCGTAGTCGTGCTCTGGGAGGAGTGACATTTGAGCAAACCTACAGGTCATGAGCAATGGAGACTTGCAATGTCTGGTAGAGCATTCCAGGCACTGGGAGCAGCAGAGGCTAAGGCCTAGAGGTGGGAACATGCTTGTCGAATCAGACTGGCAGGCCGGAGGCCAGTGTGGCCAGAGGGCACTGGCTGAGGGAGAGAGGAGGCAAACAAGAGGGCAGAGGGCTGGGTCATGAGGACCCTGCAGCCAAGGTGGGGCCTTGGTGTTATTCCAGGTGCTGCCAGAGGGCAGTGGAGGGCTTTGACAGGAGGAGGACCTGATTTACCTTTTTAGAGGAATACCCTCGTGAGGGCCAGGATTTGGAGGAGGCGATGGTGCTGAGAGGTGGGGGTGGCAGCGCCAGGGGATGATGATCCCATCAGGAGGACACTGAGTGAGGCTGACACTCAGTAAGGGCATGAGGGAGAAGGCAGGAGTCACCCCCTACTGAGGGAGTCAGGGCTGCAGTTTGTTGGCCTCGACCTCTCTGTGCTGGACACTCTGTTATCCTTTTCCCAGCCCCTCACATGGGCCATGCTCTTTCACATGGTTTGCCCCTGCTGTTCCCTCTGCTAGGAATGCCCTTCCTCCCTTGGCAGCCTCTTCTCCTTGGGCACACCTACTCATCCCGCGGCTCTCAGCTTCCAGAAGCCTCCCTCGGCCCCACTAGGTGGTGTCTTCCTTCCTAGGAGTCTCCACTGTGGTTGTGTGTTTAGCGTCCCTTCCCCACTGGACAGCAGCCCCTGAGGGCAGACCACATCGGCCTGGTTCCTTCACTGCAGCATTCTGAGGTTCTAGCAGTGCCTGGCACACACAGGCACACAATAAGTATTTGTGGACTGCATAAGTGCATGCATCCTGAGTATCAGGTGCTCCAAAACATTCTCTCTAATTCTTTGCAACCACTCCAGATGAGGCCCTGGAGGCTCAGAGAAGATAAGCAAATTGCCCCAGGATGCACAGCTGCCAAGTGGGCAAGCTGGGATGCAGACATGGGAATGTCCAACCCCAGAGCCAGGCTCTTTCTCCTACACCTCGCCACTGAGAATGCTTCTATGAAGGCTGGAAATTACTCCTGACACGGTCTGGGGATGAGCAGATGCATCTTCAGGTGCAGAAGCTGTAACTGTAACTTAGGGAGAGGGAATACCTGGAGCATTTGAAAATGTCATTACCATCCAATCTAAAGTAATAATAGTGGACATGTAGCATAGCACTTACCACATACTAATTAATTTCATATTTATGACAACCCTATGATTATGTCCATTCTACAGATGAGAAAAATGGAGTACAGATTGGTTAAGTAACCTACTGCCCAAGGTCATGAAGCTATCAACTGGCAGAAGCAGGCTTTTGAATCCCAGGTGTCCAACATCTACCTTGCATTTCATCCACAGGCTTGGCCCCTATAGTTCTTGGACTTTGCTCCCCGCGTCTCTTTGGAGGCCAGGGCCTGGGTGTGGGAACTCAGCCGAGCTGATGGCAGGGGAGCTAGGGGGACAAGCATGACTCTATTTCCTTCCTGCCTTTGCTCTTTTTGAGTGGGGGACCTTCCCACCTTCCCTCATACCTGTCTTTTGGGGATCCTTCTCATTTTTCAAAGTCCAGCCTGAAAAAAAAACAAAACAAAACTTAGAAGTGATGATTCATTCATTTCCACACTCCCCCTCTTCAATTAATCATTCCTGTTTGAATCCCCAAAGCTCAGACAACATAACATTCTAGTTAAAACTATAGACTTTCCCATCAGCCCAAGTGTGATGCTGAACCTCTGAACCTGAAGGTTTTAAGGAAGAAATGGGATTATCTTGACAAAGTGCCCAGTGCTGGGCTTGCCTCTGGGCTCCAGGAGCAGGGCCATTTTCACCCTTGGTATAACCCTCATCTTCAAAGTCTCCCAGGTCCTGTGGTGCTCACTGCCCACCCACCCCAGTGCTTTCCACAGAGCCCGGCAAACAGTAGAGGCTCAGAAAGGTTATGGATTTTGGAGCTGAAACTCTCATGCTGTCTCTTTCTGGAGGTGGGACCTGACACATACAGTTTGCCTTTCTGAGACTCAGTTTCCCCATGTGTTAATTGTGGATGGTGCTAACTTGGTCTCCCCCAGTCACTGCCAGGACCAAGATGTTAAGGCTTGTGAAGCACCTAACACACCATTCCGGGATCCAGCTATCCTCGGGGGCTTTCTCCAGAACATACATGGGAACCCGGGAAGGAGACATGTAGTCCCATTCCTCTGGGAGCAAACAAATCTGATGCCCTCAGTGACCTGACTCCTCATGCAGAGGTCCCTGCCCTCCCCGCCCCATCCTGTTTCCCCAGGGCCAGGTTCCAGGCTCAGAGGTAGGGTACAGCCGAGCCATCTATGGAGCAGCAGTGACCCCGCGTGGCTAAAAGGTGCAGAGCAGCAGAAAGCATTCTGCCAGGTGGACTGCTCTCTTCACTCGGCCTACAAAATCACCCTTCTGACCCTGGCAGCCCAGGTCCCAGACGGTCATTCCAACCAGTTCCTAACCTCTCCTCCTGCCCCTCAAGACATTCAGCCACCCCACCCTATCGTGTGTCAGTGTCCACTCTGTGCCAGACACTGTTGCCCGTGAGCCTCCACTACTGCTCATACCTTCACTTCCAAGTTCAGCCTCTTCTCCAGGGCCCTACTGGCCCGTCCATGCTATGTCTCACTGCCTCTTCCCTGCGTCCCATACTCTGACATGGTGGGCCCCTCACTGCTCTCCAAGCACATGCCATTCCGCCCAACCTCCTTCCCTTGCTTGCAGACAGTATTTAACTTCATCGCCATTACCTGGAAGAAAGTATTCCTATCCCATGGTACCAGTATGGACCATGAGACTCAGAAGGCCCAAGGTCACTCAGTTAGGAGGCAGCAGAGCCAGGATCTGAACCCAGAATGGGACTCCTTCCCTGTCACAGCGCTGTTCACAGCACATTGAGAAAGCCCTCATATCACGCAGGGCTGTGGTGCAGGGGTGTGAAGGTTGGAATTGCCGAATCCACTGAAGCAGGCAACTATCTCAGGTGGTAGTGGGAGGAAGCCTTCATTCCCAGGAGAGATGACGTTTGAGCTGGCTTTGCAGAAGCAGTAGAACTGTCCAAGGCAAAGAGGGCAGGAAGGGCATTCCGGGTGGTGGTTACAGCATGAGCCAATGAGGGAAGAAGGTTGGGCAGAATGGCATGTGCTTGAGAAGCAGCAAGAAGCCCACTATGTTGGCCAAAATGTGCAATGTAAGGAGGAAGCAGTGAGATATAACTTGGTCAGGCCAGTGGAGCCCTGGGGAAGAGGCTGAACTTGGAGGTGAAGGTGTGAGCAGTGGTGAACGCTCACGGGAAACAATGCTGTGTGTCGGAGGGCGGGTAGCAAGTGGGCACCCTGAAAATCCCATTCCCTTCTTGGGAATGGCAATCTCAGGTGTTTGTTCCTCAGGCACAAGGAGTGGTTCTGACAGCCTCTATGCCCCCACCCCCGCCCCACAGAACTACTATCCAGGCCCTGGAAATTATGGGGAGAAGGGCAACCCATACACCAAGCTGGAGGAGAATGCCTGGAACAGGTCCCATTCCGAGGGCCTCATGTGCAGGATGAGCAACAAGTCGGACCCTCGGCCTCATCAGGTACCCCCTTGGCTGGCCAGGCCTTGCCTGCCTTCCCGTCCTGCAGGGGCACTCCCAGGGCAGAGGGGGAAGCTGAGCTCTCCTGCAGGCCTCATCACCTCTGCTGTGCTCTAGGGGAGTGGTCTGGGACCTGGCACCTACTCCTTCAAAAGTGACCTTGAGACATACGTGGCACGATCCGTCGGCACCCGCGGCCCCTATGACATTTTTTCTGGTGATCGGAGCAAGCCACTGCCTTATGGGCACTACTCCATGCAGGTGTGTACCTGGGATGGTGGAGGGTGTTAGTCCATGCCCCTGCAGGATGACAGGCCTCACTACTCAGCACCAGGAACACCAGCTTGTGCGCCAGGCTCTACATCGGGCCGTCCCCACACCCCCTCACTTCACTCTCACAGCCAGGGCCAGATCTGGCTTCCCATGTTAGGCAGGGAAAACTGAGGCTGGCCACCCAGCCGGAAGGAACAGAGCTGGGATTTGAACCCAAGGACATCTGTCTGATTTCACTGCCAGCTCTCTCCTCTGCACTGGCATGAAGTGCCCAGGAGGTGAAGATGGCCCACAGTGCCAGGGGAGCTTGGTCATGAGGAACCTTGATGGCACAAGGTGGGGGCGTCCTCCTATTTTGGAAACGGCAGGCATTATAGACCAAGCTGGCTGGGTTAGTGCCAGTGCTGTTAACAAAGCAGAGAACAGGAGGCCCAGGAGGGGAAATTGAGGTAGAATTTTATCTTGATGGCCTCCTTTCCCACCCCTGTCAAGTCCCTGTGATGTGATCTCACAGTGCGCTTGCTTTGTGCTCGTGGCCACTGGAATTAAGTTTTGTCTAGTTGCTTGTTTATCTTGTCTCCATTGCGCATTCTCGCAGTGGGTATGATTAAGTCAGGTAGTAGGCGAGGTGCAGGGGAAAGCAGCCCTTGTGGAACTTACATTCTAGTGGGGAAAGAAACTCAGTCATCAATGAATAAGAAAAAAATTCTCGAGTGTGAGCAGGCAATGAGTGCTATGGCAGAGCTCAGGAGCGCTTAGGAGGGTGGAGGTTAATGTAGAAGGACCTCAGGACCAGCTGGCAGGTAGCCACTGAGCTTTCAGCCTTTGACCTGGCTGCTCCCTGGAGCCCCCCAGACCTCCCCATGACCAGCTATGGCAGGGGTCAAGGGACCCTCCTCAGGCACTGTGGCCAATGCCCATTCTGACTGGCCAGTGCCCAGGCCATGCTGTTTGCTTTTGTTTGTTAGAATTTTTTTTTTTTTTTTTTTTAAGATCAGTTTCAGGTTCACAGCAAAATTGAGTGGAAAGTATAAGGAGTTCCCATGTACCCACTGCCCTCCCCACCACGCACAGCCTCCCCCACCATCAACATCCCACAGCAGCCTGGTCCGTTTGCTGCAGTTGAAGAACCTACACTGATACATCATTATCGCTGCAAGTCTGTGGCATACCTTAGGATTCACTCACGTGGTGGACATCCTGTGGGTTTCGCCAAATGCATGACATGCAGCTACCATTGTAGTATCATACAGAATAGTTTCACTGCCCCCCAAATCCTCTGTGCTCCTCCAGTCACTCTGGTTTTAAATATTTAAGACATCGTTCCTGCTTAGAACGGTGCCAGACTCAATACATGTCCAACAAATGAAAGAAAGAAGAAATGGATGAAAAGGAGCTGGGCAGTAGGGTGTGGCAGGTGCATGGTGCAAGAGACTAACACCGCCCCAACCTGCTGGTTGGGGGAAGACTATGTCCACCAGCCCAGGTCAGGGGGGCCTCGAGGCTGGCCTGACCTCCGGGATGTCTGCATAGCAGAATAGTAAGTGATGCCCCAATGCTTTTCTCTGGTTGCGGGGGAGGGTTGAGAAAGGAGCTCTGATTTTCCTGGCGTAACAGATTGCTTTTACTCTCCTTTTCTCAGAAAAAAAAGCCCAGGGAACTGATGAATTTCAAGAGCTTTGTAGAAGAACTTAACTCACGTCACAATAAGAAGCGTGGGGTTTTTTCTAAACTTCCCCGCAACCCAAAAACCCCTACAGAGAGGATTTACTGGGCCACCCTCAGCCAGTGCCCCCGCACGCTGGTGAGTTCGCTCCTGTGGCTGGCCTTCCTCTCTCGGAGGGCAGCTCTCCTTCCGGGGCTGGGCATGGGGTAGTGTGCCTTATTTCATGGGGAATAACTCAGTCTTGGGATCAGACTGACTTGGTTTCCAATCCCGGTCCTGCACGTTGGGACATTTTAGGTGAGACCTTGTTTGGGCCTCGGTTTACACCCCTGTCCTATGAAGATGGAGAAGTGGTTGTGAGAATTAGCTGGGGCCCTGTACTCGGAGCCTACAGCATGGTGCCTGGTACCCAGGAAGCACCCAGCCAATGCCAACCTTCCCCCTGTGCCTCCCTCCTCTGGCCTCAGAGCGTTGGAGGATGGGCAGGGGAAACTGGAGCAGGGCAGAGTACAGTCTACCCACTGGAGGGCCTGCCCACCTGCTCCACCCAAGGGAGTGGTGTGCTGGGCCCTGGTGTTAAAGCAGTCCTCTGGGGGTCTGAGCAGGCCCCCAAAGCAGGGTCTGCCCCTGCTAGGCATTTTACAGCCCGTCTGGGGTAGGAATTATCATTTGCATTTCACTAAAGGAAACTGAAGCCCAGACCTGGAAAGGGATTGGCCAAGTTCCCCCAGCAAGGGTGAGAAGGGGCTGGGATTGGAACCCAGCTCATCTGGCTCCAAGTCTGCTTGGAACTTGGAGTGGAGTGGTGTGGTGTGGTCTCCTTCCTCAGAAATAGGGTCTTCAGCTCTCTGGGCCTCACCAGACAATGAAGACCCTTGGGCACCTAAAAAGAGGCATCAGGCTGTGACGGGTGTTTGTTAGAGTGGGTGGCATGGGTCATGAGAGCCCTTTTGCTCAGAGGTAGCTGGGTACCTCCACCATCCTTGGCTCAAGACCCAGGCTGCTGGATGGATGGAGTCAGCCTGCCAGAGTCCTCACCTGCCCTGGGCCCAGGCTGACACTGCCAGAGCCTCTTCAGATTTCAGCCTGCCTTCCTTACTTGTAGGCCACATCTGGCCCCAGTTTCTGGCTTCCACAAGAGAAGAAGTGCAAATCCGTCAACCAGCCCCCGTTCCTGTTGACCTCCAAGGGGTCAGGCGCAAAGTCCTCTCAGATGATTATGGGAAGCTGGGTGAGTGGGTCTGGGGTGAGGGATACATGGGAACTGTCTCCTGCCTCTATAGCCAACACCAAAGCCTCTTTGTCCCCAGGTAACCGATGCTTTGAGTGAGCCATATGCCTCCCCTTTCTTTTCCCCAAGGGACCTGAGGTCCACTCCCACTGTCTTATTTTCCTAAGGCAGTGGTTCTCAAACTTGAACTGATAGTAGCCTCACCTACAGAACTTGTTAAAACACAGATGGCTGGGCCCTATGCCAGAGCTTCTGGTACAGTAGGCCTGGGATGGGACATGGGAATTTGCATTTCCAACAAGTTCAGGTGATGGGGATGATGCTATTCCAGGGACCACACTTTGAGAACCAATGAGCTAAGAAACATCCCACTGCAACCATGCCATTCTAGAGAAACGCTCCTTCCATTCTCTGTGTTTTTCTTGGGCCTCAGGGGCAGCTGGTGAAGCTGGTGCATTTCCTGTCCCTCGCTGAGCAAGGCCCCCTTCTGTCCCCTTCCCTTTCCCACTCTCTTCCTCATCTCCAGAGGCAGCCATCCCCAAGTGTGCAATGTAATCTTTAGTTAGTGTTCTTGTAAACCAGCTAAATTCTTGGCCTTGGGCTTTGACCTCATTCTGTTTCTTACTCCACCCCTCTTCAGTTTGTAAATGTACCTTTTATTGGAGTCTAATAATCATAGAGAAAGGCGCTGAGTCCTAAGTGCACAGCTCCATGAATTACCACATTATGGCCATAACTACCTCCCAGAACATTTAACAGCTCTTATTTCCAGCACCCCAAGAATCCCTGCCATTCCCACCCCCACTCCCAATTAGATAGCCTGTTATCCTGACTGACTTCCAGTAGCACAGGTCAGCCACCTTACCTCCTTACCTTCCCACACGGTGGCAAGGTCCTCAGCGTGCCCAGACCCCAGTGACCAATTCTTGTGAGGACCGGCTGGTTGTCCCTGAATCCTTCCTTTTTCCACCTCTAGCCTGCACCCCCTGCAGGGGAGAAAGTCTTTACCTGAGAGCCCCCAAGTGAAATGTTTAGACCAGAGCCAGATGACCCTGCTGCTACCACAGAGCCAGCCACTGTGAAGTGGGAAGGGCTGATGTGAGGTCTGGGTTCAGGCGGCTCAGTTGGCCACACCCCACAGGGTGGGAGAGCCCCTCTACTTGTACCCCCGAAACCTGGGCGCCTCATGAAACAGGCTTCTCCCTTGTAGGAGGCAACTTGTGTTTAGCACGGGACTAGCTCCTGGGTTCTAACATCTCCCCAGCCCACCCCTCAGGACTGCTCCGCAGATGGCTGGGTTCTTGTCCTGCCTTTATTCTGCCCTTGCCGCGTTACCTTGGGCAAGTTACATCTCCTTTCCCAACCTCTCTATTGGTGCTTCTAAGATCTGTGACCCCGATATCTGGGTGGGATGCTGTATTCCCTTCCTAGAGCTGCCACAAACTAGGTGGCTTAAAGCAACAGAAATATTCTCTGACAGTTCTGGAGGCGAAAAGTCTGAAATCAAGGCGTCTGCAGGTCCGCGCTCCCTCTGAAACCTATTGAGAAGAATCCTTCCTTGCTTCTTTGTAGCTTCTGGTGGTGGCCAGCAATTCTTGATGTTCCTTGGCTTGTAGTCATCACTCCAATCTGTATCCTGGCATGGCTGTCTTCCTGTGTGTCTCTTCTTAAAAGGACACCAGTCACATTGGATGAAGGGCCTACCTTACTGCAGTATGACTTAATCTTAACGAATTATGTCTGTAGCAACCTTATTTCCAAATAAGGTCACATTCTGAGGTACTGTGGTTGCTCGGGGTTAGGACCTCAACATATCTTTTTGGGGGACACAATTCAGTTCATAACAGATGGAGTAGGGAAGCGTCCGAGGGGAGGAGAGGAAGCCGAGACGCAATCTCCAAGCCAGGCTTGCTAATGTCCTGCCATCGTCTCCCTGTTGTAGAACCCAGTAGGTGTGGGCCGCTACCTCAACACCTGGCTGATGGAGACAAAGGACAGGCGGCAGCGATACCGGTCCCTATTCCTGGCTGGATCCAAACGCTACCTCTCAGACCTGGCCCGGGACAGGCTTATGCAGTGAGTGCAGCTGGAGCTGCAGGCGAAGGGGTGAGGGTGGTGGTGGGTTCTTACTCTGGGGTGGGTTGGTAGCTCCCCATGTTTGGTTCCCATGGGAACACAGCTTCTGCCCCTAATGCCAGCCAAATAGCAGAGGCAGTGGAGGGATGTTCACGTTCAGATCCTGGCTCTGCCACTTACTGGACATGGGAGGTTGGGCATGCTGCATCACTTCGCTGAGCCTCATTTCCTTCAGCTGTCAAAAGAGCAGATATTTGAGGAGACCCAAATGAAATGATCTGCTGAAAACCCTTGGTAAGGAAAAGGTACTCAATCGACCCTAAATCCGCCACTTGGAGCCCACACAGTCCAGTCTCGGCTCTCAGTGGCTTCACCACGTGGAATCTGTTTCTTGGTGTTCATAATGGGGGTTGCTAAAACTCATTTCAGGAGGTTGCAAAGCCTAAGAAGGGAAAAGTACATTAAATACTGTGGCAAACTATACAACAGCTTGTAAATGTTAGCTGCTGCCATATTTTATTGACCTAAGAGGCCATCAATTGCAATATAATAACAATTTCAGAAATGTTACAATGTTGACAAACATGCGCATTAGAATCCAGTTTTTTGTTTTTTTTTTTTTTTTTTTTTTTTTTGAAATTATGGTGAGGACATGAGGACCAGATTCTGAGGACCAGATTTCTCAGGAGAAATCAGCTTTTAAATGTAATTTCAAAAAATATTTTATTTTTTATCAAAGTTGTGCTGTGTCTTCCTCCTTCTCAACTTACCCCCTTGTTTTGGTGGGTTCCTGAGAAAGGGCCAAGGAAGGTAAGATTTTTGATAGAATGTATACCTGAAAAAGTTTATTTTTCCTTTCTGCATATCTGATCAATAGTTTGGTTGGAAATAAAATTCTAGGTTGGATATAATTTTCCCTCTGAATTTTGCAGGCCTTTCGTAGCCTCCTAGCTTCAAATATGGTTGTTGAGAAGTCTTATGCCATTCTGGTTTTCCGTGCTGTGTATGTGACCTGCATTTTCCTTCCTGGAAGCTTTCAGGATCTTCTCTTTGTACTTCCTGTTCTGATGCGTCTTGGCATGGGTCTGTTTCATCCTTTGTGCTGGGTACTTAGTGGGTTCCCTCCATCTGGAGACTCAGCACCTTCTATTCGGAGAGAATCTTTTGAGTTTTGTCTTTGACGATTTCCTCTCCTCTGTGTTCTCTCTGCTGCTTTTCAGGTATCTCTTTTAGATGAATGTTAGATGCCCTGGTTTGGCACCCTAGTTTTCTTACCTTTTTTTCCCTCTCCTTTCTTATTTTCCGTCTTACCTTTTTGTTCTACTTTCTGGTAAAATTTTCTTGCCCTTATCTACCCTACTATTACTTTGAAAATTTTGGCTATCATATTTTTTCGTTTCCAAGAGTTCTTTTGTTGTGGATTGCTCTTTTCTTTCTTATTTTAATAGCACCCAGTTCTGTGTCATGTATGCGGTGTGCAGTATGTTCTTTTTTTTTTTCTTTTAAGATGAGGTCTCACTCTGACTCCCAGCCTGGAGCACAGTGATGCAATCTTGGCTCACTGCAACCTCTGCCTCGCAGGCTCAAGCGATTCTCCTGCTTCAGCCTCCCAAGTAGCTGGGATTACAGGCATGCACCATCACGCCCGGCTAATTTTTGTATTTTTTGTAGAGGCCAGGCTTCGTCATCTTGCCCAGGCTGGTCTGGAACTCCTGAGCTCAAGCAGTCTGCCCGTCTCAGCCTCCCAAAGTGCTGGGATTACAAGTGTGAGCCACTGTGCCTGGCTGCAGTATGTTCTTTTATCTAAGGATGTTAATTAAGTTTTCCTGAAGTTCTTTTGCCCCCTGTGTTGTCTCCAGTTCTTCCAAGTTTCTTTTTTTCTTTTGCTTGTTTGTTCATATTGAAGAGGAAAGCACTAAATAATACTGTGAGTCTGGGTGGGGCCTGTCAGTCACTGTGAGTGATTGGCAGTGGATCTGGTCTTTCTGTTGAGACCCTCAAATGCCAGTGTCTCTAGGTGTTTTCTGTGGGACTATTCAGCTTTTCTAGAAAATAATCCTCTGTTCTGGGTGGGGGTAACTGTGGTTGCTGGTGATTAGAGGAAGGAGACAGGGCTGTCTCATTCAGCGTATGGACTGCCTCCTACCCGCTCTCTTCTCATTGTGGGACCTGTCTGCCTACATTCCACTGTGCGCCTCCTCCTAGCCCCCTGGAATCTATCCACAAACCAAACCTCCAGTCTACTGCTGGCTGGATGAGGAGTCAGCGGGGGGTCATGTCTAGATAGGATCTTATTCTGTTACCCAGGCGGGAGTGTAGTAGCACAATCATAGCTCACAGCAGCCTGGAACTCCTGAGCCAAATCAATCCTCACCTTGGTCTCCCATATAGCCGCAACTACATGTAGGCTGTACAGGTGTGTACAGCCATGCCTGACTACTTTTTTATTTTTATTTTTGTAGAGACAGAGTCTCACTATGTTGCCCAGGCTTGTCTTGGGCTCAGGCTGTCCTACCACTGTGACCTCCCAAAGTACTGAGATTATTGACATGATCCTCTATGTCTGGCCTCACCTGTTTTTTAAGATACCTGTGCATCCCATTCCTAGATCTTTCTGAGGTTTTGTGGCAAGAGTTGGCAAGTGTCTGCCCAGTTTTCCCTATCTCTCCTTCCTTCCTTCCTTCTTTCCTTCCTTCCTTCCTTTCCTCCCTCCCTCCTCTCTTTCTTTTCTTTCTTTCTTTCTCTTTCTTTCTTTCTTTTCTTTCTTACTTTCTTTCTTTTCTTTCTTTCTTGCCTTCTTTCTTTCTTTCCTTTCTTTCCTCCTTCCTTCCTTCCTCTTTCTTTTCTTTCTTTCTTCTTTTCTTCCTGTCTTCCCTTTTTTCTTTTTCTTTCTTTCTCCTTCTTTCCTTTCTTTCTTTCCTTCCTTCCTTCCCTCCTTCCCCCTCCCTCCCTATTTCTTTCTTTCTCTTTCTTTCTTTCTTTTTCTTTTTCTTTCTTTCTCTCTCTCTGTGTCTCTTCCTTCTCTTTTCTTTTCTTTCTTTTCTTTTCTTCTTTCTTTTCTTTCTTTCTT